TTCAACGTAGTCCCAGCTAAGGGAAAGCTGGGGGACAACTCTTAAAAGCTGGAAGAACAGTCTGGAGCAAAGTCTGTAAACGATCTGGCCGGGAGGTTCAAGATACAGGGTCTGACTGATACTGGAAGGAGGCATCCATGTAAACCGTTAAATAAAGCTTGAGACAGATCCTGGAGAGACTGTTGCTGTGTTTGCCTCTTTTTTCATGAGAGACTGTTCCAGAGTTCGCTGGCTCAGGGCTGTTTGCAGTGTGGAATCAGCCGGAAGCAGAATGTCTATATCCTCTAATATCAGAGGCCTACTTTGATGTTAGTACTGTTAGAGAGTGTCCTCAGTTCAAGTTGCTATGGTTCTGGAGTATCCCAAGGCTCACCCCATTCCTCATCCCAGTTCTTCAACCAATAAACCCCCCAAAAAAGAAACTCCTGCCTGGTTGAGTGGAGTGACTGAGAAACTGCTGTGTACCTGTCTGCCATACATCCAATAGGGAATAGAACCTGGGACAAACAACAAGGTCAGCTTGGAGTCTGCACTACATGGGTAAGAGAGGATAAAAAAAACATTAGGAAAAGAAGTGAAGTTCCTCATTATTATATTGGCTGGTTTATCCATATACTTACCTCCTATAGCCTCCTTGGTTCATAAAACGCATTGAGAAGTCATTATCTCCCCAATGATATATCTGATTGTCAGGTATTGTATCAATTATTTAAAATATTTTGAATTAGCTTTAAGATGGTAAGACACAAAGGAACCTCTTATGTTTAAAAATGTTAAACTAATCTTAATGAAATCAACCTTTTATATGGTTTTAAACAATTGTTTAATAAAATGATGTCATGTTTTCTCAGCAAAATTTGTGTTAACATTATGTTTACCATTTAGATCTATTTTGTATGTGTGACGGGAGTGACTTTGGGTGGGGGGCCCATGGAACACAGCCCCCTTTGGAGGGGCGGGGAGACCCCTGTCTCAGATCCCCATATCCCTCTTATGTGTAAGTCACCCTGTGTCTCTTAGGGCACAGAGTGACTACTGGACGCTGAGAATGCGGTTGTAATTACTTCAGATGTGACAGTAATTTTTATTAGCTATATGAAGACTATTCCTGGTTGCTGATTCTGAACTAGACATGTGAATTGAAGGAGCCGGACTGTCTGCTCTTTAGTGAGATCCTAATTCATCCCAACGCTGCCACCAATATAACGGAACCGGACCCCGCCTGCACTAGGGTATTTCCGTTAGACTCCCGCTTCCCTGTCCGAACACAGATCCACGGAAACCACCGCTGGCCACACAAGACTAGAGAAGAAAAGTCTTGAAATAAACCAGGAAATAGACTGCTTTATTTTAACACAAACACAAGATATAAACATTCAAGGAAACAATCCACCTCCCTGCATATGGAACAGGGCTGTGTTCCATGGGCACCCCACCCAAAGTCACTCCCGTCACAGTATGCTTTAGGGATGTTTGTGTATACCCCCTGATGGGGAAATAGTGGAAGTTTTTACTTTTCCCAAAGTCACAAGACACACTTAAATCAGTTGATTATATACATATATTTTTATATAGTGATACACTTCATAAAATACAGGTAGTCGAAGAAACCATTTCACATATAAGTATGGATAACAAAAATATATATATTGCAGTGCCTCTATTACAACCAATACACAGAAATATTATTGCTGAATTGTATGGAATGAGCTTAACTGGCTGGTGTACGGAAGCAAACGAGAGAGGAGCATTGTGGGAGAGGGCCCATCTTGTATCGGAATTCATTCTTTCCTTCATTATAACATTCTTATTGCTTAGCCAACATGCCAGTCCACCAATAACTGATATTCCAGTGATGTGTAGAGGCAGCTGGGTTATATATCTCTCATTGGTTTATACTTCTTGGAATCTCCAGCAGAAAGATCCAGGACTCTTGATTCATGACAACAGAGAGTCTCAATGCTCCCTTTGAAGCAATCCTTCCCTTGCATTCTCTATATTCTATCAAAAATGAAAATGTGATTATAATTGTCACAGCAAGTGGCCTGGTAACAAGTATAGGATCTCAGTGTTGGGTCCTTGAGGGATTTAAGAAGCCAATAAGTGACTCCATAATCTTGAAATGTCAATTTTGGGCAGACCAACTTTTTAACATACCATATGCCATACTTAAACTGAAACTGTACATTCCCTTTGTCCAGTGGCCTCCATAACCTAGCATATTCTAGTCACCTTGTTAAAAAAAACTTGTAGTATCCATCTAAAGGACTAATCTCTGCCTCAAAGAAAACTGGTCACTTTGTCCATTCAGGGCAAAGTAATAGGTTCTCTTGATAGGCTATACCACCTCCATCCAACTGATACATACCTTCCCCATACTTCCCTGCTGCCTTGTATGTCTGCAGCGCTGAAACCAGTCCTTACGTAAGTCTGATTGGCTCCATTCTGGGAGGAAGGCGAGAAGGTCGGATGCCTCCCCAGATTTTGGACAACTGTGTATTTCCAAGGCCTCCAATAGGTGAAAGCAGTAGTGAGTGAGTACAGGGAAAGGGGGTACGTGGTAGGAGCATGGCCTATCAAGAGAACCTTTCATCTTGCCCTAAACAGAAGAAATTGACAGATATTCTTTATTCTGCCTACATCTTCCTGTTTCTGTCTTATCACTTGCTTCTTCCTTTGGTCTTTGCAAATTCTGTAGCTGATCACTTTAAATAAGTCCCTTTCTTCCTAAAAATACGCCATTCGGCAATCACCTAAATAAAGTTTATGGCATTTTCTAATATAAATTATTTGCCTAAAATGGTGATTTCAGAGTGACCTCCTTCCACAGGAAAGAGAATCAGACCTATGTTGTCCATGTTAGCACATCTCTCCAACATACCTCTGTTCTACAACTACATATTTATAACTTCCTGCATTCCTCCTAGCAAAGTCTTCCTCTCCATATTACAGATGTGAATATGTTACACAACCATTCTGAACTAACCCAGTCCCAGAAAAGTGGCCACCAGATAGAATGTAAATCTAAAAAAATTGTAAAAATCTATACATACCTCATGAGCCAGTGCTTCCTGTAACCCTCAACCTTGCTGCTACATGGAGCTTAGGAAGACCCCAGGCAACACCAGTGTTTCTCACATTGGAAAGACAGAGCTCTGAGGTAGAGCAAAAACAGGACTACAAGGAGCTCCTGCCCAGGTTTTGGGGCTCTCTTGGCACCACAATTTTGCTGCATTTGGTCATAGTTTATGGACACTTGACCATCACACCTACAGTATATGAATTTGTTGGGTATCTCATTTCAAAACCATGGATATTAATATGGAGTCGTATCCTCCCTGTATAACAGCCTCCAATCCTCTAGGAAGGCTTTCCACAAGAATCTGGAATACACTTGTGGAAACTATTGCCTATTTGTCCAAAAGAGCATTTGAAGGTCAGGTGCTGATGTCGGCTGGTAGACCTGGCTCATATTTTAACCCAAAGGTGTTCAGTAGGGTTGAGATGCAGGCCACTCAAGTTCCTCAATGCCAAACTTGTTAAACCATGTCTTCATGGACCTGGCTTCGTGAAAATTAACTCAATAATTTGGAGGGATGTTCACTAATTTTGGCCATATAATGTACAGCAATATGAACCCATAAATACTGCCTGGAGTAGTTCAGTATGGTAGATTACTGTTCATCTCCTGCCCTGTCTGATATCACTTCATTGATTATTCCTTTGTTTACTATTATTCTTGGTAAATACTTTCTTCAAACTAACTGACTAAACTAGAGGTCCTTCTCAAGTGCCCTTATTTATCAAAGTATCTTACACTGTCTTGGTTGCACACAACAACCAAAGTGACTATTGAATTTTGAATGCTGGTTGCTGAGGGCAAAAAAGAATACATGTGCCTCCATTCCTCCAAATGTTTGGAATAAGATCTGTGCCGTTCCAGGGCAACTAAGACCCATTCACACCAGCAGGGTCCACTGTGATGTATTAAGCTCATGCGCATTAATATGCATTGTGTTAGGATACCCAATGCACCAAAATGGCCCAAAACAAAAGTGCATGCAGCATTTTCGGCTCTGCACTGTACTGCACAAGTGTTGCCAAGTGTTGTGCTGCACTGTAACACAGGTCTGGTGCGCTGGGAATCCATTTAGGATGGCACCGCATTGCACCAGCGCAATAGTGTGAATGGGCCCTTCAGATTCAAAACTGCACCTGAAAAAGGCATCTGGAAGCTGCAAGTCGGGATTTGGCTGTTGTGAGCAAGTACAGACAGGTCTTATTTCAGATATTTTAAGAGGTCATTTCATAAAGGAAACCTGTCTTGTAGGAAACTCAAAGGCTGCTATTGGTCAATATCTGAAAAATACTACTTGCTTGACTGTCTCTGGCTTCAATACTTTCTAGATTACTGACCTGCTCTGCATACTTGTTGCTGGTTGGTGACACAGACGGTAATGGAGCCATGGGATCCACACTGTACCCATGCAACCAAGAAAAGAAAAAAGAAGAGTTCAGCAATGGCAGTTTAGGTATCTTTTCAGTACAGGTATTCTTTTATGTTATGAACATGGAAAATATGAAATCTTGCCTATAGCAGTCAATCAGATGTCTGTTGTCATTTCCTGGCCTGCAGCAATAAATGAAAGCTGGAGTCTGATTGGTCGATGTGGGCAACATTTCCTCTGCTCCCTATGTTTTTTTTTTGTTCAGTTCCTCTCTTTTGGGTGTTTCAATAATACACATACTGCACTTCCTCTACTCTCCCTAAACCTCCGACTCCCGTCCTTCACTGCTCACCTCCGGTAGATTACCCCACCCATCTATCCCACCCCCTGGTTTCCCTCTCTCCTTGGTGCTGAAGCTGGGTGCATAGTGGTTCTTGCAGTGCAGTGTCTCTGGACGGCAGGCATTGGTACCCATCCACCTCAGCCCCCTGATTGGGTAGACACAGGATGTAGTTGATGATGGGTGGAACCTTCAAACCCAAAATCCTCCTCTTATTGGGATTCATCTGTTGGGTTCACATGTTGCGTGTTTGCTTGTTCACCACCGCCCTGAAAGAAAGTATACAAAACGTGTCATCAGTTATCAGAATTGATTATTATTAGTAGTAGTATTATACAGGATTTATATAACGCCGACAGTTCTTGGCCAAAACATTTTTTCCAACTATCCTGACATAGCACATCAAATCAAACAACAGTATCACATGAGTTACTATAAATTGTGTTATACAGTAGAAACAGCTGTGGTGCTATAAACAGGACTGTCCCAAATAATATCTATGTGATTGGAAAAAGAAAAAAAAAAAAACAATATCACTCAGTATGCTCCTGTCTGTGTCACCCTGTGGTAGAAGGAACAGACTCCATGGCACATAGCTCCTCCTGGGTGGTGTCATCCAGTAGTGGGAGTGACAGACTCCCACTACACCTGGGTGGTGTCACCCTATGGTGGGAGGGACATGCTTCATGTCCTATAGCTCCTCCTGGGTGTTGGTACCTTGTGATGAGAGGAACAGACTCCATGTTAAAAGGTTCCTCTTGGGTGAGGTCAGCCTGTGATCAAGAGGGACAGACTCCATGTTACAAAGTTTCTCCTGGGTAGTGTCACTCTGTGATCGGAGGGACAGGATTCATGCCATATAGCCCCTCCTGGGTGGTGTCACCCTGTGGAGGGACAGACGTCATGTTACAAAGTTTGTCCTAGGTGGTGTCACCCTGTGGTGAGAGGGACAGACTCCATGTTGCAAAGTTCCTCCTGGGTGGTGTAACCCTGAGGTTGGAGGGACAGGCTTCATGTCATATAGCTCCTTCTGGATGGTGTCACCCTGTGGTGGGAGGGACAGGCTTCATGCCATATAGCCCCTCATGGGTGGTGTCACCCTGTGGTGGGAGGGACATGCTTCATATCTTATAGCTCCTCCTGGGTGGTCTCACTCTGTGGTGGGAAAGACAGACCCCATGTTACATAGTTCCCTCTGTCTGTGTCACCCTGTAGCGTGAGGATCCGAACCCATGTCACATATCTCCTCCTGTCTGTGTCACCCTGTAGTGGGAAGATCAGAACCCATGTCACATAGCTCCTCCTGTCTGTGTCACCCCTGTGTAGTGGGAAGATCAGAACCCATGTCACATAGCTCCTCCTGTCTGTGTCACCCTGTAGTGGGAGGATTAGAACCCATGTCACATAGCTCCTCCTGTCTGTGTCACCCTGAGGTGGGAAGGACAGACCCCATGTCACAATTTTCCCAGTGTCACCCTGCAGAGGGAGGATCAGAACCCATGTCACATAGCTCCTCCTGTCTGTGTCACCCTATGGTGGGAGGATCAGAACCCATGTTACAGAGCTCCTCCTGTCTTTGTCACCCTATGGTGGGAAGGACAGACCCCATGTCACAATGTTCCCGTGTCGCCCTTTGATGAGAGAGCATGTACTTACTGAACTAGATGTTTTGGCATTATGAGCATACAGAAGCATTGCGATATCATTCTGCCCAGCTTCCAGCGCAATAGACAGAGCCGTGCTGTCATCCTTTTAGGAAGAGAAATACAATTCATTAAAGCAGAGATTTATCTCTTACATTATACACACAGCACACATTTCTGAGGCAAAATCCTACTAATACCTATTACATTATACATAGAACAGACATATCTGTTTATTATATGATACGCAGAGCAGACTCTTTTGTTTGTTTGTTTCAGGTACTTATATAGCGCCGTCAATTTACGCAGCACTTTACATACAGTTGTGTTCAAAATAATAGCAGTGTGTTGAAAAAAGTGAATAAAACTCAAAATCTTTCTAATAGCTTTTATTTCCATCCACACAAATGCATTGGGAACACGACACATTCTATTCCAAATCAAAACATGAAGAAAAAAAGATCAAATTTGTGTTCCTCTAAAAAAACTGAAGAAAAGTGAATATTAGACTGTTCAAAAAAATCGCAGTGTTTGTATTCTTCTTTACAAACTCAAACATTCACTATATAAGCTGAAAAATGTTTGAAGATTTTGCTTTCCTTTGAATCACTTAATGAATATTTGGTTGTAGTCGCACTGTTTCTGAGAACTGCTGTACATCTGTGTTGCATGGAGTCAACCAACTTCTGGCCCCTGTGATCAGGTATTCCAGCCCAGGATGATTGGACTACATTAAACAGTTCTTCTCGATTTCTTGGTTTTGCCTCAGAAACTGCATTTTTGATGTCACCCCACAAGTTTTCTATTGGATTAAGATCCAGGGATTGGGCTGGCCACTCCATAACGTCAATCTTGTTGGTCTGGAACCAAGATGTTGCACGTTTACTGGTGTGTTTGGGGTCGTTGTCTTGTTGGAACACCCATTTCAAGGGCATTTCCTCTTCAGCAAAAGGCAGCATGACCTCTTCAAGTATTCTGATGTATTCAAACTGATCCATGATCCCTGGTATGCGATAAATAGGCCCAACACCGTAGTATGAGAAACATCCCCATATCATGATGCTTGCACCACCATGCTTCACTGTCTTCACAGTGTACTGTGGCTTGAATTCAGTGTTTGGGGGTCGTCTGACAAACTGTCTCCGGCCACTAGACCCAAAAAGAACAATCTTACTTTCATCAGTCCACAAAATGTTGCGCCATTTCTCTTTAGGCCAGTCAATGTGCTCTTTGGCAAATTGTAACCTCTTCAGCACGTCTTTTTTGCAACAGTGCGACTTTGCGGGGGCTTCTTGCAGATAGCTTGGCTTCACATAGGGGTCTTCTAATTGTAACAGTCCTCACAGGGAACTTTACACCTTCTTTCATCTTCCTGGAGCTGATTGTTGGCTGAGTCCTTGCCATTTTGGCTATTCTTCTATCCATTCGAATGGTAATTTTTCGCTTTCTTCCACGTCTTTCAGGTTTTGGTTGCCATTTTAAAACATTTGCGATCATTTTAGCTGAGCAGCCTATCATTTTCTGCACTTCTTTATATGTTTTCCCCTCTCCAATCAACTTTTTAATCAAGGTACGCTGTTCTTCTGATCAATGTCTGGAATGACCCATTTTCCTCAGAATTTCAGAGAGAAATGCACTGTAACCAGCATGTATAACATTTGCTGCCTTCCTTCCTTAAATAAGGGCAATAATTGCCACCTGTTTTTCAAAGAATGAATGACCTCACTAATAGAACTCCACACTGCTATTATTTTGAACATGCCCCTTTCAATGAGTGATTCAATTACACAGAATCAGCAGCATGCATGTCATGACTGTTGGGTCTGTTGGATTTCTATTACTCTACTACACCTGATAGTAAATTATTTGCCATGTAGAAATATCATTTCTACCAAAAACAGTGATTGATCCGGTTAGTGATGTCTGACTGCTATTATTTTGAACACAACTGTATATATTGTACATTCACATCAGTCCCTAACCCTCAAGGGGTGTACAATCTAAGGTCCCTAACTTACATTCATACATACACATACTAGGGCCAATTTAGACAGGATCCAATTCACCTACCAGCATGTCTTTGGAGTGTGGGAGAAAACCGGAGTACCCGGAGGAAACCCACACAGGCACAGGGAGAACATGCAAACTCCAGGCAGGTAGTGCCGTGGTGGGGATTCAAACCAACGACCCTAGTACTGCCAGGCGGAAGTGCTAACCATTTAGCCACTTTACTGCCCTCTCTTTTGCAGAGAGACCCCAGTCATATCCATGTATTATACAAACTCTTCCTGTACATTGAATAGGTAGTGTGTGTTACATCATGACTTACATTGTCTGTAAGAGACACATCACAAGTTGGTTCTGCCAGAAGCAGGCTGACTATATCGGCATGGCCATGTTCACATGCACACATGAGCGCAGTAGACCCATCATGATCCTGTACATTGACATCTGCCCCCGCACTGCACTGCAGCAAAGCCCGTACCACGTCCAGACGTCCATGACTTACTGCCAACATGAGAGCTGTTTGCCCGGCCTGGGATACAAGAGAAAGAAGACGGATAAGTTCTGATGTATTCTATGTCTGTGAAGAATCTCATATATGCAGGTCTTGGCATATCTCATAATAGTCACATTTAGCCCCGGTTCACACTGACGCGATGCAGGAAATGCACAAGAATTGCTGCGTTTCCCGCATTGCATCACAACGCATAGCAATCGCACTGTGTTCACACGCAGAATGCAGGTTGCAGAACGCAGCGCGTTTGCCTGAAACGGATCGCATGGGTATGAACACCCATGCACTCCAATTCCAGTGTGGAAAAAAGTGCATGCACCTTTTTTGTGTGGATGCGGTGTGCTTTGAGCCACACAAAATGATGAGCTAAAATCGCACTACACAGAATCGCATGTGATTTGCACAGGAATGTGGTGTATCACATGCGATGTGACAGTGGAGTCTAACCAGACTCATCCTGGAATGCTGAAGATGTGTCAAAGCTTATCCAAGCCACTTCTTCCGTCCTAATGAGTATCAGCAATATACCCCAGCATGTACAGACGGACATTCAATACGGCAGAAGAAGTGGCTTGGCTAGGCTATAAAACGTCTGCAGCATTTCAGTCCAGTTGAATGCGACTAACCACCACTAGATGATGCATTCTATGTGTTCATTACAGAGTAACATGTGACAACAAGGGGCCTAGGTATAAAAAAAAATAGCTTCAGGAATGTTACCAGCATTTGTCCAGCCGTAATGCTTTTTCACTGTATTTTCTGTAATAAGTTTACTTCCTGTGATTGCCATCGCCATCTAGTGGCCCTAACGTGGTATTTTCCTGATTGAAATATTTCAGAAAAATATGGCATTCTGGCCACTAGAGTGATCAGATGATCAAACAAAATAAACCTGGTCCGATAACACTTGGTGACACCCCCTCCGACGATCCCCGCAGGATGGATCGGATCGGATCTGCGGATTGAGCATAATGGATCGGACTCTGATACATTATGCTCCCCAATCCGCAGATCCGATCCATCCTGGGGGGATTGTCGGCTTTCTTTACAACTTACCTTTTTGTGGAGCGGGTCCGGTGTCACTGCATATAGGTTGCATGCTGACGATCCCCGCAGGATGGATGGGATCTGCAAATTGGGAAGGATAATGGATCGGACTTCAATCCATTATGCTCAATCCGCAGATCTGATCCATCCTGCGGGGATCGTCGGAGGGGGTGTCACCAAGTGTTATTGCACCGGGTGACACCAACCCTAGGGACGCCCCTGCTCCATCATTCATGAAAGGGTTCGTTGACACGTGCTTTGGTCGAACGTGCTTAGCTCTTCATAGAGCATTTGTCAGGAGGTGAGGAGGCTTTGTATTGCCTCTTCACTGCCTGCTTTAACCTCTTGAACCCCACACTAAGATGCCGCAACTGCATTGCACACGGCTGCAGGGAACTTGTAGAGCAGCCCCTTTCACTTGAATGGTTGCGATCGGTGGGCGGTATGCCCGCCAAAAGCAGCAGGGGGTACAATCCCTACTGCAGCCGTGAAGCAAAGCATTGTGACCACGGCATGTGTACACCCCTGGCCACTGCCTCTGCAGCTAAAGGGGGAGTGGTGGTGGTGCGGGGGCGTTAAAAATGCACCTCAACCGTGGGGTTTTACTGCCCCTCAACTGCTAGTGTGAACAAGCCCTTATATTATTGAGTATGTAAAAGGAAGAGCTGGAACACACAGGGGTGTTAGGGGACACCCAAAAGGTCCCCATTAGGTAGGAAGAGTTGGGAATTCTTACAGGGAGAACATCCAAGACGTATAGGAAGCCGGGGGACTCAGACCACCAGGCTCCACCTAGAACTGAAATATCACATTCGGCTGGACTGACCTTTTCATTCCTTTATGTATTCCACTGAAAAATATTTAAGTCTATGTTTACATATTGCTAGAACGGCCTGAATTCTGCCTGCCTTTATATGACTTCCCATGGTGCTTTGCACTGTACACTGAGAGCGCTCATATCTTCAGGGGAAACGGAACATAAATATGCAAGAATGCATCAATTATCCAATTATCATGTGCCTGGAGCTCACATGGAAATGCAAGAATAACAAATCATTGATTTTTTTTTTCCTTTAACTGTCATTAAAGAAAACCTGTCATGAGAAATACTCAGAGGCAGTCACTGCTGACAGCACACTTTGAACATGCTAGTTGCCTGGCTGTCACATCAATCTTATGGCTTCCTTATGCAGGCCATGCATGGGTCGAAAATCGGCCGATTTTTGCACCGTTAGTGGGTTAATTGGTCGGCCTTTTTGCACATTTTTTTTTATTGCTCAAGTTGGAAAATTTGCGGCCGATTTTGACAATCGGCCGATTTTCCCGGCAATGATGGCCAAATGTTTTACCAATAAAAAAAATGAGGAGGAGGAGGAGGAGGAGGAGGAGGAGGAGGAGGAGGAGGAGGAGAAGAAAAAAGGAGAAGAGAGAAGAAGAAGAAAAAGAAGATGAAGAACAAATAGAAGGAGAATAAGAAAAAGAAGAAGAAGAAAAAGAAGAAGAAGAGGAAGAAATAGAAGAAGTAGAAGAGGAAGAAATAGAAGCAGAAGAAGAAGCAGAAGAAAAAGAAGAAGAAGAATTCCAGTCCGCTATTATATTTTATATGAAAAGTCTTGCGGTTGCAACAATGTATCTATTTGTATCCGAATAAAAACACATCTGTATCTGAAATGGATACAAATGGATACATTGTTGCAATCGCAAGACTTTCATGTAAAATACAATAGCGGAGCTCTCTGCAAGGGACAGAAGTAATTATGGGGTTAAATGCTGACCATAGACAGGACGAATATCGGCCGATATTTTTACCGTTGGTGGTAACGTCGGCCGATTGAACGACCGATTTTTTGTTTTTTTTAATAAAAAAATGGCCGGTTTTAGACCCGTCTATGGCCTGCATTAAGCTGGCCACACACGGGTCGAAAACCGAAAGAATTTTCTTTTCAAAATCTTTTCTAAGAATTTTCGTTCAAATTTCGCACCATTAGTGGGTCACAGAAACAGACGATTTTCATGTGACCATTGAATTTGAGTGATTGGGCATGTAATGAAATTTTTTGAAAAATGAAGGAATTTCGAATCAATGATGGGAGAATAGTGCAAGAAATATAAAGCTGTGACCTGGAAAGAAAAGAAAATTCTTGGCCATGAAAATTCTTTTCTGTAGCAACAGGAGGAAAAATTTAAGGCTTGGTTGGTTGAATTTCGAAATCAATGGTGGCACCATCACATTACAAAACGCACTAAATTTCCGATTTTCTAAAGAAAATTTGTTCGGTATTCGACTCATGTATGACCTGCATTACTTCCCGAATTATAAACCTGGAAGAAGTATGCAAATCAGGAGTTCTGACTTTGCTTGCTGCATACTTGTTCCAGGTCAGTGAACTGAAACCACAGACAGGCAAGAAAACTGGCATTTTTAGAAGAAACAGCCGTCCTTTCATCACAAGAGTCATTTTATTTTTTTAATTATTTTTATTATTTTTTAGGTGGAGGAACACTTAGGCTGGCCATACATTATACAATTTTCTTTAGACTTTTGGTTTAGATTTACCAAAAACCATATAATAGGAGATCAAACCTAACAACACTTTCAATTGTATCCAATTAGGGAGGCTCTTGCCCTACATAGTTAAAGGTAAATCTAAAGGAAGTTGGGCAGAAATTGAACAGAAAATTGTATAGTGTATGGCCAGCCTAAGTCAAGGTGGAGCACTGTGTTTTTTGAAAAGGCTTCATTTGTCCAGAGCACATCGTATTGATTTTCCACCATTCAAGCACTTTTATATATTTTCTAATTTATGTTTCATATTTTGATTGAACAATCACATTTGAACTTTTTATGGACTATTATTTATATATGACACTATTTATATATGTTTTATTTTTTTTTTATATACTTTTTTATGACCTTGTAGCCTCAGTCAGCCATCCAAGGAGAACCCAGGGAACATTCATTTTAAGTATATGTAAACCCAATCACTAAAATCTCATATATGTTTTAAAGCTGAACTCTGGGGATTTCACAGAAAAACACCCCTGCATGCTCCACTCCTACCGTGCACTGCAAGGGTTAAATGCTCATTAACCACTTCCCCGTCCGGCCGTTGTATATAAACAGCCGGACGGTGGCAGTGCAGGGGCGGGTGGACATTTATAAATGGCCTCCCCACCCCCTGCTTGTGCGCACTCCTTAGGACATAACTGTTAAAAATAGAACAATAATCATTATTTTTATAATAATAATAATTTTTCAATAATTATTTATTATTAAATCAATCATATTTTATTATATAACAATAATAATAATCAGAATCAAAATAATAATTAAAAAAATAAAAATGATAATAATGATTTAAAAATATTATTAATAATAACTAATATTTCAGATTCTTTCCCCTGTAAAAATCACTGGCTTCCATGTTGCTGGGCATGACATCACCATTTTCTGGTGAGAATGCAGAGCAGGCCAAATCTTGTGAGAAGATGCAAGATTTGGACTGCTCTGCACTGACTCCCCCTGGTCTCCCCAGACACGATGAAGTCATGATGATGTTAATGTAAATATAAAATCTGCCTCTGGTTGTCTACAGGTACATTTTTGGGCATACTATAACCTTTGAGTTTTTCAGAGCAAGGACATTGTAAACAGACCTGGCATTTAACAGCAAGGTTCACTTTAACTCTTTAATGAACTTTCAAAAAATAGCTGGTGATCCTGCAAAAAAATACCCTTACTTAGGAACTTCCTGTTATAGGGTGACAACGCTCTGTCCCTCTCGCGTAATTATGAACCTGCGTTGTCACCCTATCACATGCTCTCCCAATCAAGAATAGAAATGACCATGGAGATGCACTGTTGTCACAATTAGGAGAAATGCCAAGTGCACGCACACAGAAGTGGCTGCAAATAGCCTGCAGGAGATCAGCATCACTGAGATGCAACAAAAAAATGAAAAAATGAGAACAATATTTTATTTTTAATAAATGGCAATGGATTATTATGCACAGCGCAGTGAGGGTTTACATGTACTTTAACCCTTGAGCATAAAGTGACAGAAGGGAGCTAGGCACCTGGCTGGCCCGGCAGTTGACATCTCCCAGGCGCAGCATCTGTGTGACAGTTTCGATGTCTTCGTGGGAGCGGAAAGCTGCGAGTGCCGTGAGCATGAGCGGAGTAAACCCGGCCTTATTCTGTCTGTTCACATCACACAGGCCTGCGGGGGGGAGAAGAAGAGGAGCTGGTCAGTCAGGAGGGTGTGCAGGGGAGAGGAGGGGGCCACGGGGCCCGTCTTCAGGAATAAGGCAAAGCCAACACAGATGGAGCCTGAAAGGAGAACCTAAAATACCAGCAAATTATATACAGAGAATACACCACACATGTCAGGGAGAGAAAATCATACAGAATTATAAATGGAAAGAGCACAGGACTATCTACTGTATATTACTAATATCCATCCATCCATCCATCCATCCATCTCTTATCTATTATCTATCTATCATCTATCTATTATCCATTCTATCTATCTATCTATTAATCTATCTATCTATTATTATCTATCTATTATTATCTATCTATCTATCTATTATTATCTATCTATCTATCTATCTATCTATTATTAATCTATCTATCTATCTATCTTTCTCTATTACATACAGAGACCGATGTCTTATATATTTTAAGAAATACAAAACCTTCTGACAAATCCCTTTTACCTGTTTCTCCTGATTCTGCAATATTCCCAGTTTTCTGGAAATTGTAGAGATGAGGCGTAGGTGAAAATCAGGAACGTTTACAGAAATGTTTCCATTTTAGCAAATTGTTTCAGAATCAGTAAAGCTGAAGTTTAATCTGCTTATATTTTGGCGTCCTTGGTTCTTCCCTTCCCCCTTCATCAACACATTAATGAATTTTTTAAATAATAATTTTTTCATAACATATCTTATTTTAGACCTGATGATGTCATCACTGGGTCTCTGTGTTTCTCTGTGCAATGCAGGTAGATTGTGGCTGGTGGGAGGGGTCGGTGTTTTGTACGTAGCTTCCTGAAAACATCACAGCCCCGTGCTTTAGTGTTCCTCAGGAACTCAGCCTGGATGCAAGCTGCGGGCTGGTTTTTGGGAGGGAGTTGTGCAAATATCAAAATGCCTTGATGTCTGGATGTCAGTCTGGAGGAGTGGGCATTCCTTGGCAGACTAGGTATCGCCCATATGTGATGACAAGCCTCCATGACTTAAAGAACTAAATTTCAATGAACAAAAGGAAGGGGCAGGGGTAGTCAGACCAGGGTGGAAAAGGATAAATGATGCTGGACGTCCTCCAGCCAAGAAATGAGGCGGAGCTCTATCTGTCTTTCAGCAGCTTCTAATGCACATTGTGACAGGCTCACAGTGTGCAGGGATATCAGAAGAAGCAATTTCAGTCCAGGCGAGGAGCCGGTACAACTATGCAAGACTGGAGGTCAGATATAGGGTGGTGTTTGGTATCTGGTGCAATGAACTTTAATTGGCAATAAAATAAAATTTAAATAGCAATAAAATACACAAAAGGTAATAAAATACATGAAATAATAATAAAATACATTCTTCTGTACTGCCACTTATTATTATTTTTTTTATGTTACTCATTTTTTATTTTATTTTTTTAAATAATACCAATATACGCAAAAGAAAGGAAAAAAAAAATAAGCACTTTGAAAAAGCAAACTTATCTACCTAAAAGGTATCTTTTTTCCAGTCAAACCATAAAATTAGAGGTCAGTTTTTGGTGAAATTTCATCCAGTCGTTCCTAGCAGCTAAAACTTGTCTGGAGCCGCATCAGCAGCTGTAAAAGTTTAGTGCCCAGAAACTAGGACAGTGTCTCTTCCTACCGCTAGAGGGCGCCGTGTGACAGGAGCGTCTCACTTTGCTTTAGGATAGGAAGGGTCCTAATGCAGACCATAGACGGGTCGTTTATCGGCCGAATTTTACTCTGAAAGAATAATCGGCCGATATTCGCACCGTTAGTGGGGCCGATTTTAGCAGTTCCTCCTCATTTCTTTTATCGGTCATGCTGGAAAATTTACAAAAAACGGCCGATTTTCGCAATCATTTGTGGCAACAGAACGACCGATGTTTAATTTTTCGGCTGAAAATTAAACGAACCGTCTATGGCCTGCATAAGGCTGGTTCACACTATACAAACGCAGTCTGGGTACATTCCTGCATGCGTGTTTTTTGGTGCGTTCCAGATGCTTATTTCTTGTCATTTATGGGAGTCATTAGGGGTCCAGTGCGTTTTTTTGATGCATTCAACTACATTCCAGTGCGTTTTTAATGTGTTTTACTGCATTCCAGTGCAGTTTTAATGTGTTTTTACCGCATTCCAGTGCATTTTTCAATGCATTTTACCGCATTCCAGTGCGTTTTTAATGTGTTTTACTGCATTCCAGTGCGTTTTACGTGGTTTACCGCATTCCAGTAAGTTTTACCGCATTCCAGTGTGTTTTTAATGTGTTTTACCACATTCCAGTGCGGTTTTAATGTGTTTTACCACATTCCAGTGCATTTATAATGCATTTTACCGCATTCCAGTGCGTTTTTAATGTGTTTTACCGCATTCCAGTGCATTTTACGTGGTTTACCACATTCCAGTGTGTTTTACTGCATTCCAGTGCGTTTTTAATGTGTTTTTACCGCATTCCAGTGCATTTTTAATGCATTTTACCGCATTCCAGTGCGTTTTTAATGTGTTTTTTACCGCATTCCAGTGCGTTTTACGTGGTTTACCACATTCCAGTACGTTTTACTGCATTCCAGTGCGTTTTTAATGCGTTTTTAAAAACCGCATTCCAGTGCGTTTTTTTAATGCGTTTTACCGCATTCCAGTGCGTTTTTAATGCGTTTTACCGCATTCCAGTGCGTTTTACGTGATTTACCGCATTCCAGTAAGTTTTACCGCATTCCAGTGTGTTTTTAATGTGTTTTACCACATTCCAGTGCATTTTTAATGTGTTTTACCGCATTCCAGTGCGTTTTACGTGGTTTACAACATTCCAGTACGTTTTACTGCATTCCAGTGCGTTTTTAATGTGTTTTTAACCGCATTCCAGTGCGTTTTTTTAATGCATTTTAAACCGCATTCCAGTGCATTTTTAATGCGTTTACCGCATTCCAGTGCATTTTTAATGCGTTTTTTACCACATTCCAGTGTGTTTTTAATGCGTTTTTACCGCATTCCCGTGCGTTTTTTAATGTGTTTTACCGCATTCCAGTGCGTTTTTAATGTGTTTTTAAAAAAACCGCATTCCAGTGCGTTTTTAATGTGTTTTACTGCTTTCCAGTGCGTTTGTGATACGTCTTACCGTGTTCCAGTCTAGTTCTGCGCAGGAAAAATGCAGCATGTTCTCCTTTTTTTTCTGGAACCAAAACGCACTGGAATTGCAAGCACTGGTGTGAACCATGCCATTGACAACCATATAACCTACTCTCTGTGCGTTTTGGATGTAGCAAAAAAAAAAAAAAAAAACCTACACTGGACTGCAGGTAGTGTGAACCAGGCCTTAAAGCGGAAGTAAACTGCCACAATAATAAAAAATAAAATCGGACCCCCTGCAGGTTTCGGTCATAATATACCAGTATACACCACATACTAGCACATTATGACAGATTTACCTGCAAATGCAGCGCTGTCACTGCTGCTGGACACTTCCACCTTCACCCGGTCTCCCTTCTGGGTTTGCGGTCTCCGGTAGACATGTGCATTTCGTTTCGTTCCGAATATAAATTCGGACAAATTTTCCGTTATTCGGAGATTTGGATGTAATCCAAATTCCGAATGACAATAGCAATGAATTTGAAGAAATCTGAAATAGCTGATAGCAGAGGAATGAAGCAGCAGACTGAGTTGAAACATAGTGAGGGAAATGCTTTGTTCATATTTCATGTTTGAGGTTTACAACCACTTTAACCTCTTGCCCACCACTTCCCGCTGGCTCTTTAAGTGGATCTTAAAGTGTTACTAAACCCTGGACCCTGCATTCACTATATCCGGTCTCCCCGGACCCTGCATTCACTATATCCGGTCTCCCCGGACCCTGCATTCACTATATCCGGTCTCCCCGGACCCTGCATTCACTATATCCGGTCTCCCCGGACCCTGCATTCACTATATCCGGTCTCCCCGGACCCTGCATTCACTATATCCGGTCTCCCCGGACCCTGCATTCACTATATCCGGTCTCCCCGGACCCTGCATTCACTATATCCGGTCTCCCCGGACCCTGCATTCACTATATCCGGTCTCCCCGGACCCTGCATTCACTATATCCGGTCTCCCCGGACCCTGCATTCACTATATCCGGTCTCCCCCGGACCCTGCATTCACTATATCCGGTCTCCCCCGGGACCCTGCATTCACTATATATCCGGTCTCCCCCGGACCCTGCATTCACTATATCCGGTCTCCCCGGACCCTGCATTCACTATATCCGGTCTCCCCAGGACCCTGCATTCACTATATCCGGTCTCCCCGGACCCTGCATTCACTATATCCGGTCTCCCCGGACCCTGCATTCACTATATCCGGTCTCCCCGGACCCTGCATTCACTATATCCGGTCTCCCCGGACCCTGCATTCACTATATCCGGTCTCCCCGGACCCTGCATTCACTATATCCGGTCTCCCCCGGACCCTGCATTCACTATATCTGGTCTCCCTGGACCCTGCATTCACTGTATCTGGTCTCCCACAGTGCACAGAACATGGAAGTGCAATTATTTTAGGAAATATAAACTTCTAAATACCTTTTCTCATCAGCAGTTAGAGCAGTCTTGTGACTTCAGCAGAGCACTCTCCCAAGGAAAAAAAAAAAAACCTCTCTAGCAATACATACCAAACTGAGCATGTGCATGTGAAATAGTGTGTATAGTAACAGTGCTGCACTACACAATCATGATTAAACCAAAAATAAATAGTAAAACTATATATCAATTCATAAACCAAAGTATATATAAATCAATTTAAAATAAATTTTAAAAAAATCAAATAATATAAATAAATATGAAAAAAAATGAAAAAACTCCCCAAAAATATATACAAAAAATAATATATATTGTTTTGTGGACAATCCTTTTTCTGTGACCACCAAGTGCATGTGGCTACGGTTCAGTATGTCTTATCAGGTGGACATTTGAAGAAGGGGAGGATCAGAGAAGTCAGGATCAAACAACCTTTTTACACTATGCAGAGGATTTACCCCTGAGGTTCCACAGTGAGTATAACCAGCATGCTTTACTGCATATACAGACTGATTTTACTTTTGTGGGTTTAGTAAGACTTTAATGTCGGGAGGCGAAGTTCCTGACCATGTGATCACGGTGATTGGCTGTCACAGCAGACACATGATCAGTAGCTCGCCACACATGTGAGTGGAACTGTTGGTGACAGCTTGGCCAGTGAGAGCGCGCTCTCAGCACAGAACAGTGGATGTAAATATGCAGCAGCTTGGTGTTTTAAAGCCAGGCACCTGTTTGGCCCCCCCCCCCCCCATCGCACTGACTGCCGAGAAATATGTAAATGACAGATTCTTGCGACTTTTTTAAAAAAGTGGATCACCTGGAGAGGGCCCACATGGCTGAAAGAGGAGAGGAGATGTGCAGACCAGAGATGGACTTTAATGACGATAAATGGAGGGAACTCTAACAATCTCATTCTGCCGCAGGCCCTGTTTGGCCTTAATCCGGCTCAGTTTAAAATGTTACGCACCAGCGTATGTCAGCGATGACACCGGGGGGCCCCGTGTACGGACTAATGCCATCACATTTTTCCAGGCAGCAGAAAAAATAACATCTGAATTTTCCGCTGTTTTGGAAAATAGTTTTTGCATTCGGGACTGGCCCTGCTAATAAACCACATTGAGATTCCTGTGCGCTGAATCATTGTAAAGACTAAATTCTGCAGAGAAATATTGACAGTGAAATGTGGAATAATATCCCCATTTATATTCACAAAAACTGCAACTTTCTGTAAAAAGAATAAAATAAAAAACAAATACTGTAATATCTCTCAGCACCGTCCTAGGCTGGATGGTGGGCAATATGGGGAATCTATAAACAGCTCACGTCTTGTACCCCGCGCTTGGCTGCCCGCCGGTTCCACCTCCATGCGTTCTTTCCTTCTTTCATTCCTTCCTTCTTTCTCTTCTTTCATTCCTTCCTCTTCTTTCATTCCTTCCTTCTTTCTCTTCTTTCCTTCTTTAGTTCCTTCTCTTTCTGTCCTTTCTTTCTTTCCTTCTTTATTTCCTTTTTCTTTCCTTCTTTTTCTTTCCTTCTTCCTTTCCTTCTCTTTCCTTCTTTATTTTCTTCTCTTTCTTTCCCTCTTCTTTCTTTCCTTCCTTTTTTATTCTTCTTCTATTTCTCCTTTCACTCTTCCCTTCTTCCGTCTTTTTTTTCTATAAACAGCTCATGTCTTGTACCCTGCGCTTGGCTGCCTCCTCCTTCATGTGTTCTTTCCTTCTTTCTTTTTCCTTCTTTATTTTTCTTTCCTTCTTTATTTTCTTTCCTTCTTTATTTTCTTTCCTTCTTTATTTTCTTTCCTTCTTTATTTTCTTTCCTTCTTTATTTTCTTTTTTTCTTTCCTTTTTTTTTCCTTCTTTATTTTTCTTTCCTTCTTTCTCTTTCTTTCCAACTTTCTTTCCTTCGTTCTTTCTTTCCTTTTTTCTTTCCTTCCTTATCTTTTTTTTCCTCTCTTTCTTTCCTTCCTTCCTATTCTTCTTCTATTTCTCTTTTCACTCTTCCCTTCTTCTGTCTTAGTTTTTCATTTCTTTCCCTGGTATTGACCCTCCATACAGGTTATGGTAGTCTCTGACGCCAGGCCTGACAAAAAGTTTCACTTTAGTTTTCATTTTCTCCTTTACCTTCTTGTTACGGGCCTTCCACTTATAAGTCCCAATGGGACCCTTTTGGCTATCATTGACTGACAATTGTCCTGGAAAGTTGTATTTTGTGCACTGCTTGTATCAGCCCAGACGGGTGGCAGTTTATGGGAAAAATGGATGTGTAATGTTCTGGACTGGCTTGGAACTCCTTCTTTTATAAAATGAATAAACATCATTGAAATGAAAAACAAATACTGTATGTGGCCCTGAGACGCTTTCTACAGGAGGGGGCAGACATCAGGGCTGCATGACTCCTGTTGACTCCTTCTGGGTCTTAAAGTGGAGTGAAGCTTTTCTAGGTGTGCAGTGTAACTAATTTGTCTGTTAGCCAAGCTGCAGAAAAAAAACTGTAAATGGTTATGTCTAGGAATGCCTTGGAACACTTCTGTTATTGGAAACAATAGGTGGGCCTAGGTCCTCCCTTACAGAAGCGGTTTGTGTTACGGCGCTGCGTTACTTTAACTGACAATTGCGCGGTCATGCAACGCTGCACCAAAATGAAAGGTACATCCTTTTTTTTTTCCCCATGAATTGAGCTTTTTTTTGGTGGTATTTTGATCTCCTGTGCGGTTTTTTATTTTTTGCGCTATTTAAAAAAAAGACAGACAATTCTGAGTAAACAAAAACAATATTTTTGGACTTTTTTGCTATAAAACATGTCCAGTAAAAAAATGTAAAAATCAAAATTCGTCATAAATTTTGGCCAAAATGTATTCTGCGACATGTCTTTGCGGAAAAAAAATCCTAATACGTGTAAATTAATTGGTTGACGTAAAAGTTGTAGAGTTTACAAATGGCGGTATATATACTGGGATTTTTTTTTTTTTATACTAATAATAGCGTCGATCAGGGACTTATGGCGGGACTGCGGCAGACAATCTGACACTGGGGGGGGGGACCAATTAATCCGTTCCGAAGGTCAAAAAAAAAGTAAAAAAAATCTGTTCAAAACTCTTTATAAAGTGCACTTTAAAGGCATAGTATTGTACAAAGACATGATTAAAAAAAAATTTGTAAGTGCACTGAAAACCAATTAATCCGTTCATATTCCGAAAAAAAAATTTGTAAACCGAGCCATTTATTTTCAATGAATTTCCAATCGTAAACCGAAAATTACTTTAACCGAGGCGTTCGCAAACCGAGTTACACCTGTTCACCAATCCGTGTTATTATCTACCAAAAAAATGTAGTAAAATACAATTTTGGCTTAAATTTATAAAGAAAGATCATTTATCTGCAAAATTCTAATACAGAAACTAAGAAAAATGTCTTGTTTAAAAAAATGTTGGCTTTTTTTTGTTTATATAGCAAAAAAAAAAAAAAAAACCGTGGTGATCGAATGCCACCAAAAGAATGCTCTATTTGTGTGAAAAAATAAATAAATTTCATTTGGGTACAACGTTGCATGAACGCACATTTGCTAGTTAAAGTAGCACAGAGCTGAATAGCAAAACATGCCCTGGTCAGGAAGGGGGTAAAACTTTCCAGAGGTCAAGTGGTGCATGATAACTGTTCTAAAAAAAAAAAAAGAAACAAAAAAAAAGAGCTATACTATATTACGATATATACTGTATGTATTTTTATATATATAGTATGTATATGTATATATATTCATTTTGTATACATATATTCCAGTCTTACCAGTCTCCAGGAGCTGCCTGACCACAGTAAAATTGGACTGGGACACTGCATAGTGAACAGCTGTGTTTCCCTTGGGGTCGGCCATGTTGACGATGACTTCGAGTAGCCGCGGTGACATTGCGCGGAAAACGTTTAGATGATGGCGAACGATGGCCGGATCCACTTCCTTCTGCCGCAGGATCTTCATCCATTCCTGCATAACCGCCATGTGCGCTGCTGCCTAAATACAAAATGGCCATCACCAGAGGTGAACGTCTTAGGTTAAAAAAAAACCCCAAAAAAACAAAAAAAAAAACAACAATGGAAAAGTTTGCGTCCCGTCCTCATGCACACTTGACGTCCCTAGGCACATACTGCCCTACGTTCGTACCACGAGGTGCACCGGTCAGTCTCAGGAGCTCTCAGACTCTCCTAGATTTTTGAAAGCCTGCCAGCAGCAGGCTGGACAGTGCCCCTGTGCCCTCCGCCCGCAGATAAATGCCAGAGCCCCACGCACCACGGCTAAATTTGGATTATTTTTTGCCAAAGAAATGTAGTATATTACATTTTGGCCTAAATTTATGATAATTTATTTGCGACATTTTAAAAGAGAGACAAAGAAAAAAAATATTTTTTCAACATTTTCAGTATTTTGCTAAATTTTAAAAAAACAGAAACAAAAAATTGTTTTTTTTTTTATTTTTGGTATTTTGCTACATTTTAAAACTGAAATAAAGAAAAATGTGTTTTTTTCACCCTCATTTTCAGTATTTTGCTAATTTTTTAAAACAGAAACAAAGAAAAAGTGTCTCTTTCCCAAATTTTTGGTAATTTGATAAATTTTAAAACAGAAACAAAGAGAAATTAGTTTATTTCCCCAAATTTTCAGTAGTTTGCAAAATTTTAAAACAGAAACAAAGAAAAAAAATGTTTTTTTCTCATATTTTCGGTATTTTTCAAAATTTTAAAACAGAAACAAAGAAACTTTTTTTTTAAATTTTCAGTATTTTGCAAAATTTTAAAAAAACAGAAACAACGAAAAATGTGTTTTTTTTTATTTTTGGTATTTTGCAACATTTTAAAATTGAAACAAAGAAAAAATGTTTTTTTTTCCCCCACATTTTCAGTATTTTGATACATTTTTAAAACAGAAACAAAGAAAAAGTGTTTCTTTCCCAAATTTTCAGTATTTTGATAAATTTTAAAACAGAAACGAAGAGAAATTAGTTTTTTCCCCCCAAATTTTCAATAGTTTGCAAAATTCTAAAACAGAAACAAAGAAAAAACAGTTTTTTCCATATTTTCGGTATTTTGCTAAATTTTAAAACAGAAACAAAGAAAAAGTTTTTTTCAAAATGTTTGGTATATTTTTGGTATTTTGCTACATTTTAAAACTGAAACAAAGAGAAATTAGTTTTTTTTTTCCCCAAATTTTCAGTAGTTTGCAAAATTTTTAAAACAGAAACAAAGAAAAAAAAAAGTTTATTTCAAAATGTTTGGTGTTTTGCAAAATTTTCGACCGATTTTTCGTCCGAAAATCGGACCTAAGAATAATTGGCTCTGTTAGTGGGTCAATGGCACCGGCCGATTTTCGTGGCCCCTCCCCTTTTCGGTGATAGGGCATTTTGGAAAATTCGTGAAAAACTACTGATTTTTGACTCGATGGTCAAATCGTTGCGCATGAGCCGTGACCTGGAAGGAACAGAAGTTTTGCTTGTTATATGGGGTGAACTTTATGACTTGGTCGGTCGATTTTTGAAATCGTTGATGGCACCATTGGATTACCGAGCGAACGACATTTTCGTTTTTCGGACAAAAAAATCGTTGGGAGTTTGAACCATGTACAGTTGCAAGAAAAAGTATGTAAACCCCTTGGGATTACGTGGAGTTTTGCATGAATTGGGCATAAAATGTGCTCTGAACGCCATCTAAGTCACAACAATAGAAGAACACAGTCTGCTGAACATAATACTACACAAACATTAGATGTTGCCATGGTTTAATTGCACATAACATGTAAACATTCACAGTGCAGGGAGGAAAAAGTATGTGAACCTTTGGACTTAATAACTGGTTTACCCTCCTTTGGCAGCAATAACCTCAACCAAACATTTCCTGTAGTTGCAGATCAGACCTGCACAACGATCTGGAGTCATTTTGGACCACTCCTCTTCACAAAACTGTTTCAGTGTAGCAATATTCTTGGGATGTCCGGTGTGAATCGCTCTCTTAAGGTCATGCCACAGAATTTCAATCGGGTTGAGGTCAGGACTCTGACTGGGTCACTCCAGAAGGCGTATTCTGTGCTGTTGCAGCCATTGTTTTGTTGAATTACTTGTATGCTTTGGGTCATTGTCCTGTTGCATCACCCATCCTCTGCGGAGCTTCAGTTGGCGGACAGATGGTCGTACGTTTTCCTGCAAAATGTCTTGATAAACTCTGGAATTCATTTTCCCATCAATGACAACAATCCGTCCAGGCCCTGAGGCAGCAAAGCAGCCACAAACCATGATGCTCCCTCCGCCATGTTTTACAGTGGGGATGAGGTTTTGATGTTGGTGTGCTGTGCCTTTTTTTCTCCACACATAGTGTTGTGTGTTCTTCCCAAACAACTCAATCTTGGTTTCATCTGTCCACAGTATATTTTGCCAGTAGTGCTGTGGAACATCCAGGTGCTCTTTTGCAAACTTCAAACGTGCTGCAATATTCTTTTTGGACAGCAATGGCTTCCTCCGTGGTGTCCTCCCATGTACTCCATTCTTGTTTAATGTTTTCCTTATTGTAGATGTGTCAACAAAAATGTTAGCATGTACCAGAGATTTCTGTAGGTCTTTAGCTGACACTCTGGGATTCTTCTTTACCTCATGCAGCATTCTGCGCTGTGCTCTTGCAGTCATTTTTACAGGAGGACCACGCCTAGGGAGAGTAGCAACAGTGCTAAACTTTCTCCATTTGTAGACAGTCTGTCTTACCGTGGACACATGAACATCAAGGCTTTTGGAGATACTTTTGTAACCCTTTCCAGCTTCATGCAAGTCAACAATTCTTGATCATAGGTCTTCTGAGAGCTCTTTTCTGCGAGGCATGGTTCACATCAGACAGCGCTTCTTGAAACCAGTAAACCCAAAACAGGTGTGTGTTTTTTAAGGGCAGGACAGCTGTCAGCAACACATCCAATATCATCACACTGATTGGAGTCAAGGTTGGCTCACTCCTGTCTCCAATTATCTCTGGGAGAAGTCATTAAGCTAGGGCCTCACATACTTTTTCCTCCCTGCACTGTGAATGTTTACATGTTATGTGCAATTAAACCATGGCAACATCTAATGTTTGTGTAGTATTATGTTCAGCAGACTGTGATCTTCTATTGTTGTGACTTAAATGATGTTCAGAGCACATTTTATGCCCAATTCATGTAAAACTCCACGTAATCCCAAGGGGTTCACATACTTTTTCTTGCAACTGTATGACCTGCATAAAGCGTTTCTGCAAAAAGCACTAAAAAAACGCATTGGTGTCAACCAGGGGTTACAGAAACCAAGCGTTAGGCAGCCATTTTGGACGCTGAACTAATACAGCGATGAGTGGTGCCCTTTGTATAACTGCAGACATATCCAGATGAAATGGCATGCTGGGACTTGTGGTCCTTCAGCAGCTTCAGAGTCACAGGTAATTGGCTTTTCAGCTGAAATGCTCTCCTTACCTTCTCGGCCTCATTGAGGGCTGTGGGGTCATCGAGGGACTTCTGCAGAGCCACGCAGCCAGAGATCAGAATGTTACTGAGCTCCACTCTGTGAACATAGAACATGAACAGTCTGCATCACAATCCAGAATCATAGTCACATAGTTAGTCTGGCTGAAAAAAGACAAAAGTTCATCCAGTTCAACCATTAAAAAAAAAGTTATAATCCTACACCCACAGTTGATCCCGAGTTTCAAAATGTTTGGTATTTTGCTAAATTTTAAAACAGAAACAAAGAAAAATGTGTTTTTTCCCAGATTTTCAGTATTTTGCAAAATTTTAAACACACAAAGAAAAAGTGTTTCTTTTCCAAATTTTCAGTATTTTGCTAAATTTTAAAAAGAGAAACAAAGAAAGTGGGTTTTTTTTTAAAAAATTTCGGTATTTTGCTCAGTTTTAAAACAGAAACGAAGAGAAATTTTTTTTCCCCCCCAAATTTTCAGTAGTTTGCAAAATTCTAAAACAGAAACAAAGAAAAAAAATGTTTTTTCCCATATTTTTGGTATTTTGCAAAATTTTAAAACAAACAGAAAATGTTTTGTTCAAAATGTTTGGTATATTTTTGATCTTAAATCCCCTTTCTTCCCCATTCTGATGCTCGGTTTGAACTTCAGCAAGTCGTCTTCACCACGTCTAGATGCCTAAATGCATTGAGTTGCTGCCATGTGATTGGCTGATTAGCAATTTGTGTTACCAAGCAATTGAACGGGTGTGCCTAATAAAGTGGCTGGTGAGTGTAGATAGGAAGGTATATTATATTTACTTGTTTTAAACTTTTTAAAAAAAAAGTTTTTAGTTGCTTCCTAGTTTGTGGCCTAGGCACATGGGGGTTTATTTACTAAAGCTGGAGAGTCCAAAATCAGACTCCGCATAGAAACCAATCAGCTTCTAACCTCAGCTTGTTCAATGAAGCTTTGGCAATGAAACCTGGAAGCTGATTGGTTTCTATGCAGAAGGGAGTCTGATTTTGGACTCTCCAGCTTTAGTAATAAACCCCATGATGTCATGCATCCCATTTCAGTCTTCATGGCATTTTTTTTCTCTTTCTTCTGAAGGAGGGGCTTTTTCAGCTTAAAGTGATGTAAAGGATCAAGGTTCTTTCCCTTCATGTATTTTATGCGTGAAGGTAAAAAACCTTCTGTGTGCAGCAGTGCCCCCAGCCCCTTAAATACTTACCTGAGCCTCATCGAGATCCAGTGATGTGCACGAGAGCCTCGTCTGTCCCAGGTCTCTGCCCCCTCATTGGCTGAGACAGCAAGCGGGAGCCATTGGCTCCCAATAAAGTGACCAGTGAGTGTATTTACAAACGCTCACAGCATAGGGAATAAAATAGTTATTGTTGGTTAACCACTTTTATATACATGGGCCGGGACAATAGCAGCGCAGGGGCGGGCGACCGTTTATAAACGTCTTCCCCACTCCCTGCTTGTAAACGCTCCCTGGGAGCACGCAGCACCGCGATCCGGTGCCCGCTGCGTCCTCCGGACACAGCAGAACACCGATCGTTGTACGGGACCTCTGTGTGAGGTCCCGATCATGTGATCACCGATTGGCCAATCAGTGATCACATGCAGAGTAGTAAGCAAGATGTCACTTCCTGACATCATTGCTTACTACGTGTGAAATCTGTGAATGATCACAGAGGTCACATGGTACAAGGCTATTCACAACAGCCTTGTACCATGTGACCAATCACAGCTCACACAGTATTTCTCAATGGCTGCAAGAATGCAGCCAGAGAGAAGGAGAAATGATTGCTTTTACAGCCTTTATGTAAAAGCAATCAGTGTGAAAAAAAAAAATCTTCATCACCCCCCACAAGTAGTAAAGTGTCACCATGGTAACACTGCACTGCTAGGGTGACAGTATGTTAAAAAAATTAAATAAATAAATAATAATATTAAAAAAAAAAAAAAATGTAAACAAATTTTTTGAAATATTATAATTTTTGGTTATAAACTAATTTGGGTTATTTTTTTTTACTAAAAAGATAGCTGAATAAATTTTGGCCCAGATTTATGATGAAATATTTATTTGCAAAATTTTATAAGAAAAACACTTTTTTAAAAAATTTTTGGACTTTTTCATTTATATAGCAAAAAAAATAAAAATCCCAGCAGTGAATAAATACTACCAAAATAAAGTTTTATCTGTCTCAAAAAATTGCTAAAAATTCATATGGGTGCAGTGTTGCATGACCGTGCAATTGTCATTCAAAGTGTGATAGCGCTGAAACCTGAAAATTGGCTGGACTGGAAGGGGGTGAAAGTGTCCAGACTGGAAGTGGGTAAGAGAGTCTAGCTCCAATTTAAGATAATGGGGGGGGGGGGGGGGGGGGGGGGGAGGGGGATGTTTTTTTTTTTTTTTTTTTTTGTCTTGATGACCCAGCCATTCCCACTTTATATATGAGTTATCAGTTTTGGGTCCTAGGTAGGTGGTGAGTGTTACCTGGGGGTCGGACTGGTGGGGGATGGGCTGACATCAGGGGCCTCTGGTGTTTTTCTGTCGCTCTGCCTCTCTCGGTTGGCTGCTACTGCCAGGTTTGAGATCCGTCGGGCTGATTGCCAGGCCCTCGCTGGCCTCGTGGTATTCACTCTCAGTGCTCTCGCTGTCTGAAGGGTTCTCCATGGTCCCAGAATCCTCCGAAGAGCCGGCATCCATTCTACACAGCAGAGAGAAGACCGCCATGCTATTAGTAGACAGTCGTATCAGATGTAAGGCGTATAAAATAGAAACACCAAAAAAAATGCATTAACTGAAGATAAACTCACTCTCCATTTACTCCAGAAAACTGTGATGGCTTAGCTTCTTGTTCATCCTGTGTCAGACCATCACTGGGTTGCCCAACCAGGTCTGAAAAAGCATCAGAAACCAAGAAATTAGTATACCAAAATCACAAAGTACTCGCGTGTTGAGGTTGTGTAGATTACATATGGCCCAACGCTACAAAAGCAAAAAAAAATTCAAAAGCAGCAAAAAAGGATAAACACTGTAGTACCATTTAGGACCACTAGGGGAAGTAGATATTTATTATAGAAGGTATTCCTCCAGGACTGCACAGTGTTCACATAATACGAGCCCAGCTTAAAGTGTTACTAAACCCACAACAGGAAAATAATCATTTGATCCCCTACAGATTATACCTTTTCTCATCAGCAGTATACAGCAGTCTTGTGACTTCTATCAATGGTTAGCACTTCCGCCTGGCAGTACTAGAGTCGTTGGTTCAAATCCCAGCCACAACACCTCCTGCCTGGAGTTTGCATGTTCTCCCCGTGCCTGCATGGGTTTCCTCCGGGTACTCCGGTTTCCTCCCACACTCCAAAGACATGCTGGTTGGTTAATTGGCTCCTGTCTAAATTGGCCCTAGTATGTGTATGTATGAATGTAAGTTAGGGACCTTAGATTGTACACCCCTTGAGGGTTAGGGACTGATGTGAATGTACAACGTATATGTAAAGTGCTGTGTAAATTGACAGCACTATATAAGTACCTGAAATAAAATAAAATAAATGTCCGGCCAAGTACTGGTTAAAGCTTGTAGGAGGGTGTTCATTCTCCTTTGACTGTCCTATGAGGCTGCATGACCCCTGACCGTTTGTCTGGACAGCACTGATTGGCTCACGAGCATCCTCCCAACAAAAAAAAAAACCTCTCTAGCAATGCACATCAAACTGAGCATGTGCAGAGTGCCTCCTATAGCTCTGTACTATCAGCAGATGGATTGGGGGACTGTGGAAGAAGGGGAGGATCAGAGAAGACAGGATCAAACATCCTTTTTACACAGTGCAGAGGATTAACCCCTTAGGTTTCACAGTGAGTATAACAAGCACACTTTACTGCATATACAGTGGGGAAAATAATTATGTGATCCCCTGCAGATTTTGTAAGTTTGCCCACTTACAAAGAAATGAAGTGTCTATACATTTTATCATAGGTGTATTTTAAATGATAGAGACAGAATATCAACCAAACATCCAGAAAAAAAATTATACAAATACAAAACACACGATACAAATGTATACACTGAGTTGCAGTTCAGAGAGTAAAATAAGTATTTGATCCCCTACCAACCAACAATGATTCTGGCTCCCATAGACTCTCTATGTGCTCATGTGGTATACAGATTAGACCCGTCAATTTAAGAAGGTGCTCCTAACGACAACTCGTTATGTGTATAGAAGACACCTGTCCACAGAATCTCATTCTTCCTCACCATCATGGGCAACACCAAAGAGCTGTCAAAGACAAGACTGTAGACCTGCACAAGGCTGGAATGGGCTACAAGACGTCTAGATGCCTAAATGCATTGAGTTCCTGCCATGTGATTGGCTGATTGGCAATTCGTGTTACCAAGCAATTGAACGGGTGTGCCTAATAAAGTGGCGGGTGAGTGTATGTACAATACATGGGGTAAAAGTAATTTGCACTGATAAACACCCGAGAGAAAACCAAGCCATGTTTTAAATGACAAGAAAGCAAAAGTACTAGTCTAAAAATAGCAACACTTTATTTAATCTCTCTGGCATTCCAGTAGATGGTCCTAAAAATGTCACGTTAAATTCATGTACTTTCCTATTTTTACTCATCTATTGTTTCCTGTATTTACATGGCAACAGCATGACTTTAACACTACGGATCACGGAGAACATTTTTGTTTATCAGACCCGCAGCCTATTTAATGTCCTTGACACAGTCACCCCTACAGCCAACTGGTGCAGAAGCCGTTACCCCTACTAGAATGGTTGTATTTCGGATTATGGGTGGAAAGCAGTGCAACTGTGGGAAATTCCAAGCAACAGAACAGCAAACGCCATGTACGTATTATGTCCATGGTGGTGGGACCTGAATGTTGACCGTGTAGAGCACGGGTGTCAAACTGGCGGCCCTCTACAACTACAAGTCCCATGAGGCATTGCAAGATTGACAGTTACAAGCATGACTCCCAAAGGTAGAGGCATGATGGGACTTGTAGTTTGGCTGGAGGGCCACCAGTTTGACACCCCTGGTGTAGAGCATTCTTTCTCAACCAGGGTGCCCAGGTACCCTGGGGTGCCTTGAGGTTTCTTCAGGGGTGCCTTGGCAAAATGTCTAAAAATTGCCCAAAACTTGTATACAAGCCAGTGGTTGGAACAAGCCTGCCTTTTAGTTACACAAAGCCACAGGTTTTCATTGTGCACCATTACCACCTTCTAGCCACCGGTATCCTGACAACCAATGACATCATCAGTTGATAAGGAGGATGTCATCTGCCTGCACAGCATCCTAGTTTAACCCTCCCCCGCCCCTCTCCATCAGTGCTGGGGTCACATTAGCTCAGTGATGGAGAAAAACTGAAAGAGAAGAGAAACAATGGAATACTAGTCAGTACCAGTGTGGAAAAGTGTATTTGCTTTGGAAGAATAAATCCCCTCTGATGTTGTGTGTCCTACATGAGTGGATGTTGCTGCATTATATAAAACTATTAGAATAGTTTTTTCACATTTTAGTATGGGGTGCCCTTTTAAAATTTGGACAGACTAGAAGCACCCCATTTTAGAATGGGGTGCCTCAAGACTGTCCATCATTTTAAAGGGTGCCTCGGGACTGTCTATAATTTTAAAGGGTGCCTCGGGATTGTCTATAATTTTAAAGGGTGCCTCGGGATTGTCTATAATTTTAAAGGGTGCCTTGACCGAAAAAAAGTTGAGAAACACTGGCGTAGAGTATTCCAATGGAACACATTCCTGGAAAGAAGTAAGCAGGTGCCACAGCAACTAACAGCTGGAGAATGGTAAAATCATATCAGTCATCGCATATATATCGCCAGCACACCACGGTTCTTCAAGTCAAAGCGTATAGAAGGGATCACATCATCGGTAAAGGTGCAATGTTTTGGGCCCATACAGGACCCCTTCATCAGGATATGATGGCATCACATGTCTGACATAGTTGTCCTGTGTGGGCCCGGAATGTTGCACCTTTACCGCGGTGGTGTAATCACTTCCACAAACGCTTTGATGTTCTCTTGAAGATTCATGGTGTGCTGGTGATACATGCCTTCTCTTGAGTCACAGTTTGACTGAGGTCCCTTAGCATGCAGTTCTCTTACCCATGTCGTCTTCTTCTCTCCTGGCACTGCCGTGCTCTATGTTGGTTTCTTCCTTTGGAATGTTTTGAGGCTGCTCATCGGTTTTGCTGTTGATATCTACCCCTGGAGATAAAAAATAAACCATTATTATTAATCTACTGTAGCAGCTTAAATGCTTCCATTCTTCTTGTAGCAAAAACGGTGTAGATACACACAGTATACTTTACACTAGACTCCTTTCCCCACACAACTTTTGTTGTTGTTATGAATGATAGGGAGTTGTAACCTAGTGGCTAAAGTCATTAGAACAGTAGTAGCACATAGTAGTACAACACAGAGGGCAATAATAATAGTAGTATTAAACAGAGACCAATAGATAGTACATAGTAGTAGAAAATAGATAGCAGTAGTAGTACATAGTATTAGAAAATAGAGAGCAGTAGTAGTGCATAGTAGTTGAAAATAGAGAGCAGTAGTAGTACATAGTAGTAGAAAATAGAGAGCAGTAGTAGTACATAGTAGTAGAAAATAGAGAGCAGTAGTAGTACATAGTAGTAGAAAATAGAGAGCAGTAGTAGTGCATAGTAGTTGAAAATAGAGAGCAGTAGTAGTACATAGTAGTAGAAAATAGAGAGCAGTAGTAGTACATAGTAGTAGAAAATAGAGAGCAGTAGTAGAAAATAGAGAGCAGTAGTAGTGCATAGTAGTTGAAAATAGAGAGCAGTAGTAGTGCATAGTAGTTGAAAATAGAGAGCAGTAGTAGTACATAGTAGTAGAAAATAGAGAGCAGTAGTAGTGCATAGTAGTAGAAAATAGAGAGCAGCAGTAGTATATAGTAGTAGAAAATAGAGAGCAGCAGTAGTACATAGTAGTAGAAAATAGAGAGCAGTAGTAGTACATAGTAGTAGAAAATAGAGAGCAGTAGTAGTACATAGTAGTAGAAAATAGAGACTAGTAGTAGTACATAGTAGTATAAAATAGAGAGCAGTAGTAGTACATAGTAGTATAAAATAGAGAGCAGTAGTAGTACATAGTAGTAGAAAATAGAGAGCAGTAGTAGTACATAGTAGTAGAAAATAGAGAGCAGCAGTAGTACATAGTAGTATAAAATAGAGAGCAGTAGTAGTACATAGTAGTAGAAAATAGAGAGCAGTAGTAGTACATAGTAGTAGAAAATAGAGAGCAGTAGTAGTACATAGTAGTAGAAAATAGAGAGCAGTAGTAGTACATAGTAGTAGAAAATAGAGAGCAGTAGTAGTACATAGTAGTAGAAAATAGAGAGCAGTAGTAGTGCATATCAGTACAACCCAGAGAGCAGTACTGTAGTTGTACAATGCAGACAGCAGTAGTAGTACAACAACAAGAGCTGTAGTAGCACATAGTAGTACAACACAGACAACAGTGGTAATACATAGTAGTACAACACAGAGACTAGTAACAGCACACAGTAGTACAACACAGAGACCAGCAGTAGCACATAGTAGAATAACACAGAGCAGTAGTAGCACATAGTAGTACAACACAGAGAGCAGCAGTATCACACATTAGAAAACTGTAGAGGCACATAATTGTAAAAACAGAGAGCAGTGTTAATACACAGTAGTATAAGGGCAGACAGCAATAGATAGCACATAGTACAACACAGGGAGCAGTAGTGGCACACAGTAGCACAACACAGAAGACTGTACTGGCACAGAATTGTACAACACAAAAAGCAGTGGAAGCACATAGTAGTACAACACATACGCAAGTATTAACACACTGTAGTAGAAAACAGATCAGTAGTAGTACACAGTAGTATAAAAATAAAAAGCAATAGACTGCTCATTGTAGTTCAGAAAGAGAGAAATAGTGGGTTGAAACCAGGGGCGGACTGACAAATCATGGGGACCCCCGGGCAATAGGGGATCATGGGGCCCCTGTGTCCTTGCCCAAACTCAAAAAAGCCTATAAAAAAGGTACCAGGGGCATCCAATGGGGCCCCCTATTGACCCCGGGCCCTCGGGCAATGCCCGAGTTTCCAAATGGTCATTCCTCCCCTGGTTGAAACACTGGTCGACTTCTAATATCTCTTCAAGTTTCCAGTGGTAAGATTCCCCAGAGAAGATTGTTTAAAAACATGTCTTAATAAAGGTGAAATTCTTTTGAAAGCTGTATTTACTGGTTATTTTAGGTTTCGGAGAAGCAATCAAAGGAACATTGCACCATCATTTGGCTTAGTAACAAGTAGTAGTCTTGGAGGTTGGTCTTACATAGGACTTCTGGTGGGGATCTCTTGGCAGTGGAGTCCCCAAGAGATATAAGAAGACAGCATGTATGTATTTGAACCTGGTCAGTTTTTGGCAGAGATGGCCATTACTAGTGTTTTCACATAACAGGAATTGTGTTGTTTCATGTGTTACCTTTGCTTTCTATGTCCTTGGTGCTTTGTCCGGTAATGCTGATTTTCTTGACCAAATGTACATGGACAGCAGGCCCAGATGATGTAAGGAGTGGTTTTCTCCATAACTTCTCTACTTTTGAAGACTTTATCTGCATCTCCTTCTCTTACTTTAATTATTCCTCCACCTCTAGCTTCCAAGTTCCGTGCCCTCTGTGGCTGAACTGCAGGCCCTACTTCAGTGCTGGAGACCACTTCACTACCTCTTTCCACCCTAGCAACCTTCACTGCATCCGCCCTTAGTTCCTCCTTCTTTTCCTTCTTCAATGTATCTTCTCCTCTTGCCATTTTCTCAGCTTCCTCTAGTTTTCGGTTAGCATTCTGAACCTCAGTTAAGGCCCGGGCAAGCTGTCTCTCCAGTACCGCTATTTTGGCTGAGAGTGCCTGAACCAGAAACCTCTGTTTATCTGCCTCTGGCTGTTTGCCTGGAACAGGAAGGAAGTCCACTTCCCTCACCCAAACACCAACATTGCATAACTTTTTAGCGGGTTTTTCAATAGACAGCAAACTTCCTTTCTTGACATCTTCTTTGGCGTCTTCCATTTCTTTTACTTCCATTCCGTCAAATGCATGTTTTCCTCCTACTCTACCATCTTTAATCTCTTCTTCTGGAATCTCTATGTAAAGCTCTCCTCTAGTTTTGCTTTTTGTGTTGACCCCAGGGTGTCCTAGATATTTTTGGCTCTTAAGCTGGACGCTAAGTTGACGTTTTTCCTCTTGGAGCACCGAAATCTTTACCTGAAGAACAGGTATCATTTTCACTTGCTCTTCCAGTTGGCGTAACCTCTTCAGTGCCACAGCCATCTGTTCCCTTACATGCTGAAGATGGACTGGGGTCGGAGATACTGGAGTGGACATCCCAGAACTTAGCGGAGTGAAGGAAGAGAGTTGTTGACATGAGGATGAGGATGGAAGGCGAGAGAGGGATGGTGTAGAGACAGAGGTGGTGGACCTGCATCCCAGGCTAAGTGGGCGAGACTGTCCAGCCTCCAGCTTCTTGCTGGCATCCAGCAGTGTTCTCTCCACCCTGGGATTGAAGCTGTTTGAGACTTGAGAGCCACTCCTGACCTCGTATGTTGGGTAAAAGCCTCTTCCACAATAGGAATAAGATGAATGGCGACTGAAATAAAAGAAAGTAAATGAGACTTTCTGGATATATCACTCATGGATAAAGGCATAGGGCAGTAGGGACCAAACAAGAGGAACCAAAACAAAAAATGATCATCTCTTTTCTGTTTTTCCATTCTAAATGTATTTGTCGCAAATATATCCATATAAATATTGTTCCATGATTTGATAATTGGTGTGTATAGTTACTAACTAATTTAATGGCTCTATATAGCTATACTATAATGGCTTTTGCCATATTATAATAAATGGAAGATATTTTGTACATTTGGTGGATCTGTAGTAGTTGCAGATCCAGGGTTTGAGTACATTGACAATTTTACTTTAATGTCCTCGTTCAATCATTACCTATCATTGCTGGCATTGGAGCAGAGGGACTCTGTAGATGTCCACCAAGATCCAGTGTATCCAGGGCCTCGGGGTAATGATCCAAATCTAGGCCTGCGGCTGACAGGCACTCGTTTGATGGTATGTCCTTTTTCTATATCATCAACGTATTTCAGGAAGTCCAAATCCAGTCGGTAACCATAAGGCGTCTCCACAGAATATGGTGCACCAGGATCTTTTATAGCAGATAAAGAAGGAGGGATGGATTTACCTGGACAGACAACAAATAGCAAGGAAAATATAATTTCTGTCTCATCGACATCGTCAGTGCCAGAAAAAGAAAACCGTTAGTAGGCTGGGCATTACAGTAGAAAATAACTACAATCTTTGAAAATAAGGTGGCCTTTGTTGGTAAACATGAAAAGAACCAAATTTCTTCCAGTTGTCTCCTATTTTCTCTAGATATCTTACGATTATTTGACTGGGCCCATGCAAGATGCATTTTTTTTTTAATTTTTTTTTATCAACAATATCAAGATCTATTAAAGCTAAACTCTGGGTAGGTATAAAAGATTGCTATAAAGCCCAATGATCTAAATACATTCCAGGTGCATCAAATTAAAAGGTGTACAAAGACTTACAGTTTGTTTCCTTTAAACACCAACAACATCTGGAGTAGAAAAGCCTGTCCCCTGCCAGCATGCTGCACAGTAGGTCCCTTCCTCTCTCTGAGGAAGCAATGATCTCTTTGCAAATGTCCAACATGACACCAGAACCAGAGCTGTCTAATCAGTGGGGTGCAAAAGCCTTACTGATTGCAGAGCTATTGGTTTGACTCATTAGGGGGGGTGTTGGACCTCTGCAATGAGACCACTGCTTGCCCAGAGAGAACAAGGGTCCCACTCTGCAGCTGCTGGCAGGGGATATGCTTTTCTTCTCAGGCTGTGGCTGCATTAGAAAGTAAACTGTAAGACATTGAACACCTTTTGTTTTGAAGCAGCTGGAATGTGCTTAGTTGATTAAAAACTATTGGACTTTAAGAGCACCTCCAATTTGTATACACGTTTATATACCCAGCCAGCAAAATGATCAGCTTTGTATATAACGTTCATTGGTTATATTATTCTATCATATCTATACTAGGTCTTCAATTTTCTACTATGCCGAGTTGAGAATCCTCATATTTTGCTTGTTTCCAGCAGTCAGCAGTTCACTATGGAGTATTGACTGCCTGCTGATCTGAGGCAAGTACAGTATAGATACCATGGGGAAATAGTTAGGCTTAGGCTGTTTGAAAGTTATTCTTTAAAAGGTAGTTATAGGTACAGTTAGTACGAGTACCTTAATCTGCCATGACAGAATTCTTCTGTAATCCAGGAGTTAAGCCAGCATAGATGGATCGAATCTCAGCTGGTTGAGCAATGATCAGCCATTTTGATCCATTTATGGGTAGACTGGTTGTACCCAAGTGGATCCATCAATTTACTTGGGTACAGCCAACCTGTCAGGTTTTTTTTTTCATGTGTAGAAAAAAAAACAGCCTAGTGTATTACCTTAAAAAAATTTACTTATTAAATAAAAAAAGTAGGTATTGTACTCACAAAATGACAATACAGTCAAAGGCACATCGTGAAAGAACAGCTCTGTCCAATCCGCACTACGTGGCTGTCTGTAATGGGAACTCTGGACCTTCAACAGGCTGACGTGTTTCGAGGACTTGTGCTCTTCCTCAGAGCCAATTTTTTTTTTGTCATGTGATCACTTCCAGTGGCTATAGCCACTAGCACTGTTTTTATTTATTACAGGTACTTACAGCCAAGAAAGCTCCACAAAAATTCAAATAAAAGGGGTCATGTATTGCAGCTATTCTGTATAATGACAATTCTAAGCACATTGTAAACCTCTTTACAATGTACAGTATAGGGACAGTATACCATTGCCAGCATCATCTACTGCCTCTCCATAATGCTTACTACCGTCTCTTACTGTACCTGGAAAATGTGACTCCATATGAAGGACCTGCGCCATCATGTCTTGGCCAAATACAAACAAGGAATAGTTTACTGTATCCCCGTGTCTGAAAAGAAGGAAAGAATATAATAGACATTTTTTTTATGGTAATAATTTTTTTATAATGAACATTTGTTATCAAATGTTTTGCAGTATAAAAAACAGAAAACTGCATACATTGCATACTACGATAGAAAAGTAATATTCTGGTTGAGACATACACAAAATTTGTAATTTACAAAATTAAGCATGCACTGAAATAAGGATCCCCAAGCAGATATTATAAAATGATCACATTCAAGCCCGCGGATGGGCGGCAACAATATATTATAGATACAACCAAGAAAGTAAAAGGTAGCTGCAAAATTGTTGGCAATCATCTACATGTCATCCACAGCAACATGTCTACAATATTCCTGTAAATAAATACAAAAACATGATTTCAATAACCATCCTAATTTTATATTTCAAGTCCAACTCCAGCAAACGTTAAAATCATATCTTGCAGTTGGGTTGCACCTGCAGTGCCTGGATTCATTTTTCGTTTAGGTCTAAGGAACACAGAGCAAAAAATGTACTTACCCAATCTTCAGCACTGCTAGACCGGTCCCCGCAGCACCTTCTCTACTATGCTTTAGTGGTCTAAGGTCCTGACATCATCATGACCAATGTGGGGTCCATAGCCCTGCAATGGGTATGATGACGCTGAGGGACAATCCCTTGCCAGAATGTGGGGGAGCGCCATTTGCCGGAGAAGGACAATGTATGTATCAGGGTACCGCCTTTCCCCTAGACTAAACGAACAGTTAATCCTTGTAGTATGGGCATAGTCCCACTGCAAAGGATCATTTTAAAGTGTCCTGGAGTAGAGCATTAAGGAACCCAATTATGAGAAAATATTATGGCGCTCATTTTTTTCTTCTTTGGTTCCAATACTATATTTTTAATAATCCCCTCTTTTTTTACTACTGTATGTAAACTTTTCTTTTTCACCATCTCTCCTGCTGCTTTTTTATCATCCAAATTTCTGTATTCACTCCAAGCTTGAAGATCTTTTACCTCTAATAACTATCTTTCACTCTTTTCTTGCTATTGCTTCCCTCTACTCCTGCCTTCTTCTCCCTCTGATTCTACTGCTACCCCTCTCTTTCGCACTACTCCTGCCTTCCTCTCCCTCTACTTCTGCATCTCTCTTTCTCTCTACTCATGCTATCCTCTCCTACCTTTTTTCCCCCCACTCCTGCCTTCCTCTCCAACTTCTGTCACCCTTCATCCCTTCCTCCTCTCTGCTCCTGCCCTCCTCTCTTTCTACGTTTGCCTCCCTTTTTCTCTCTACTCCTGCTTTCCTCTCCCTCTATGTCTACCTCCCTTTTTCCCTTTACTACTGCTTTCCTCTCTTTCTACTTCCATTTTTTTTATCTGCTTCTGCTTTCCTTTCTACTCTTGCTTTCCTCTCCTTCTGCCACCCTTTCCACTATTGCTACTTCTCTTCCTCTCTACTCCTTACCTCCTCTCTCTACCCCTGCCTTCCTCTTCTCCTACTCCTGTGTTCCCCTCCTCCTACTCCTGCCTTCCTCTCTCTCTCTCCTCCTGCCTTCCTCTACTTCTACTCATGTGTTCCCCTCCTCCTACTCCTGCCTTCCTCTCTCTCTCTCCTGCCTTCCTCCCTCTCTCTTCTACTCCTGTGTCTTCCCCTCCTCCTACTCCTGCCTTCCTCTCTCTCTCTACTCTGCCTTCTCTCTCCTTCTACTCCTGTTTTCCCCTCCTTCTACTCCTCCTTCCTTCTCTCTCTCTCCACTCCTGCCTTTCTCTCTCTCTACTCCTGCCTTCCCCTCTCTCTCCCTCCTTCCTCTCTCTCTCCCTTCTACTCCTGCCTTCCTCTCTCTCTAACTCCTGCCTTCCTCTCTCTTCCCCTCCTGCCTTCCTCCCTCTCTCACCTCTCCTGCCTCTCTCCTCTCCTTCTACTCCTGTGTTCCCCTCCTTCTACTCCTCCTTCCTCTCTCTCCACTCCTCTTTCTCTCTCTCTACTCCTCCTTCCTCTCTCTCTCTCCTGCCTTCCTCTCTCTCTACTCCTCCCCTCTCCTCTCTCTCTACTCCTGCCTTCCTTTCTCTCCTCTCCTTCCTCCTTCCTCTCCTTCTACTCCTGTGTTCCCCTCCTTCTCTCACCTCCTTCCTCTCTCTCTCTCCTCCTCCTTCCTCTCCTTCTACTCCTCCTGTTCCCCTCCTTCCTCCTCTCTCCTCTCTCTCTCTCTCCAGTCCTCCCTTCCTCTTTTTCTACTCCCTTTTTCTTCTACTCCTGCCTCCTCCTCTCCTCCTCTCTCCTGTTTTCCCCTCCTCTACTCCTAACCCTGCCCCCCCCTCCTTCCTCTCTTCCTTCCTCTCCTTCTACTCCTTCTTTCCCCCCTCTCCTACTCCTGCCCTCCTCTCTCTCCTCTTCCTTCTCTCCTCTCTTTACTTCTGTGTCCCCCTCTCTCCTACTCCTGTCCTGCCTTCCTCTCTCTCTCTGCTCCTGCCTTCCTCTCTTCTCTCCCTCTTCCTCCTTCCTCTCTCTCCCCTCCTCCCTTCCTCTCCTCCTCCCTCCTGCCTTCCTCTCCTTCCCTTCTGTGTTCCCTTCCTTCTACTCCTCCTCCTCTCTCTGTACTCTCTCTCCTCCTCTCTTCCCCCTCTCTGCCTTCCTCTCTCTCCCCTCCCCTTCCTTCTCTCTCCCCTCCTGCCTTCCTCTCCTCCTTCTCCTCCTCTCCTCTCCTTCTACTTCTGTGTTCCCTTCCTTCTCTACTCCTGCCTTCCTCCTCTCTTACTCATGCCTTCCTCTCTCTCCACTCCTGCCTTCCTCTCTCCTTCTACTCCTGCCTTCCTCTCTCTCTCCACTCCTCCTTCCTCTCTTTCTTACTCTACTTCCTCTTTCCCCTCCTTCTCCTCTCCTGTTTCCCCTCCTTCTACTCCTACTCTCCTCTCTCTCTCCTCTCTTCCTGCCTCCCCTTCTTCTACTCCTGTGTTCCCCCCCCTTCCCTCCTTCCCTCCTCCCTCCTCCTACTCCTGTTTTTCTCCCCTCCTTCTTCCTCCTGCCTTCTCTCTCTCCACTTCTGCCTTCCTCTCCTCTTCCCCTTCCCTCTTTCCCCCCCCCTCCTCTCCTGCCTTCTCTCTCCTTCTACTCCTCCCCCCCCCCCCCCTCCCCCCCTACTCCTCTCCTTCCTCTCCTTCTACTCCTCTTTCATTATAGTGTGTTCCCCCCCCCCCTTCCTACTCCTCTTCTTCTCCTCCCCCACTCTCTCCTCTTGCCTTCCTCTCCTTCTACTTCTTGTTCCCCTCTCTTCTCTCCTCCTTCCTCTCCTCTCCACTCCCTCCTTCTCCCTCTTCTCTTCTACTCTTGCCTTCCTCTCCTTCTTCTCCTGCCTTTCCTCTCTCTCTACTCCTCCTTCCTCTCTCTCTACTCCTCCTTCCTCTCTCTCTCTCTCTCCTCCTTCCTCTTCTCTCTCCCCTCCTCTCTCTTCTCTCCTTCTACTCCCCCCTTCCCCTCCTTCTTCACCTGCCTTCCTCTCTCTCTACTCCTGCCTTCCTCTCCTTCTACTCCTCTTCCCCTCCTCCTCTACTCCTGCCTTCCTCTCTCTCCAGTCCTCCTCCTCCTTTCCTCTTCTCCTTCTCTCTCTTCCCCCCCCCTTTCTCTTCTTCTCCTCCCCTTTTCCTCTCCTCCTCCTCCTGTGTTCCCCTCCTTCTACTCCTCCCCCTTTCCTACCCTCCTCTCTCCTCTCTCCTTTCTACTCTCTGTGTTCCCCCCTCCTACTCCTTCCCCCCCTCTCTCTCCTCTTTTTCCTTCTCCTTTCTCCTTCCCTAGCTCTCTCCCCTCCTTCTCTCTTCCTTCCTCTTCCTCTCCTGCTCCTTTCCTTCCTCCCTCCTCCCCTCCTCTCTCCTTTCCCTCTCCCCTCTCCTCCTCTCCTCCTCTTCTCCTCTCCTCTCCTATCTCTCCTTCTACTTCTCTTTTCCCTTCCTCTTCTACTCCTTCCCTTCCTCTCTCCCTCTTCTCTTCCTCTCTTCCTCCTTTTTCCTCTCTCCTTCCCTTTCCTCTCCCCTCTTCTCTCTTCCTCCTGCCTCCCTCCTCCTCCTTCCTCTCCTCCTACTCCTTCCTTCCTCTCCTCTGTCCTTACTTCTGTCCTTCCCTTCCTTCTACTCCTCCTTCCTCTCTCTGTACTCATGCCTTCCTCTCTTCTCCACTCTACTCTCCTTCCTCTCCTTCTACTCCTCCTTCCTCTCTCTCCACTTTCCTGCCTTCCTCTCTTTTCTACTTCTGTGTTCCCCCCTTCTACTCCTGTTTTTCCCCCTCCTTCTACTCTCTCTCTTCCTCTCTCTCCAGTCCTGCCTCCCCTCTTTCTACTCCTCTTCCCCCCCCTTCTACTCCTGCCTTCCTCTCCTCCTACTCCTGTGTTCCCCTCCTTCTACCCCTCCTCCTTCCTTTCTCTCCACTTCTTCTCTTCCTCTCCTTCTACTCCCGTCCTTCCTTTCCCCTCCTCTCCTGCCTTCCTCTCCTTCTACTCCTCCTGCCCCCCCCCCCCTCCTACTCCAGCCTTCCTCTCCTTCTACTCCTTCTTCCTTTCCCCTTCCTACTTCTTCCTGCCTTCCTCTCTCTCTCCCTCTTGCCTTCTTTCCTTCTACTCTCTGTGTTCCCCTCCTCCTCCTCTGCCTCCTGCCTTCCTCTCTCCTACTCCTCCTTCTCTCCTCTACTCCTCCCCTTCTCCTTCTACTCTCCTGCCTTCCTCTCTCTCCACTCCTGTCTTCCTCTCTTTCTACTTTCCTCTCTCCTCCTCCACTCCTGTATCTTTTCTATTTGCTGCTTACTTTTCTTTACTCCATTGCCGCCCCCTATCCCTTCTTGTACTCCCCTCTCTCTCTCTCTCTCTCTTCATATTCCTGCCTTCCTCCATCTCCAAACCTGCCTTCCTCTATCAGTACTCCTCTTCTTTGTCTGTCCCTTTTCGTCCCTCTTTATCTCTTCTGTCTGCACCTTTTCTTTCTATACTCATACCTTT